GGGCGCCACACCGAGGGTTGCGATCCCGTTACCAGTCAGTAAAAAAAAAAAGACAAAAAGGAAAAAAAAAAGTTTCAGGAAGAGAGGAAAAACAGAATAAAGAAGAGAAAATTATTAAAGAAACAATATACAAAAATGACTCAGAACGGAAGGACCCGAGTTTCCAGATTGGAAGGACCCAAAGAATGCCTGTCACAAAGAATAAAAAAAAAAGAAGCACACCGAGCATGGGAATATGGGATAAAAAGATTCTAAAAGCTCCAGGAGAAAGTCTCCTCTCTCCTCTCTGTCTCAAAAAGATTAGAAACCATAGACCAGATATCTCAAAAGTAGTACTTTTTATAATTAAACCCTCCTTATCTTCTGTAGTTAGAATTCAATAGATGATACCTAAAGAAAACAAGAGGGCTATTGGTACATTATTTAGAAATGAGTGGATTCTTGGCCTACTCCTTCCACCCCTATGAATTAACTTGACTTACTATATAATGTATATGTATTGCTTTGGTAAAAACAAACAAAAGACAGAAATAAAACACTTGCACTCTGTTCTCATTTCTAGGCCTGAATACGGTATAACCTTGGTCATGTATCTTAGTTTCTTTAACCCCATTAGCATTGTCTTTTAGTCTAAGATGAAGGGATTGATGTCTGTGGCTCCCTTTCTACAACGTGAAACCTTTATCTTTGCAAGTATTTAACAAATCTTTATAGACTCTTGTACACTTAAGATAGTAGGGATTCTCATCAGATGTATTGAGATTTTCAAATTGTAACTGATTATTGAGAGAGACCTGGAGTTTAATGGATTTTTACCTTTTATTTTCAAAGGGTTGAAGTTTACAATGATTTTACTGTCAGTCTAAAAACTAAGCTCTGGGAAAATCTTGGCCACAGAAAATGAGAATGAACTGAAAGATTTAGTGCTTCCTGCATATACATAGATTATTGACTATAAAGTATACTGGTTTAAAAGAAAAATTAAAGTATACTGTTAAGAGGTTTTTCAGAAATGGAAAATGCAGGGCCGGCCCGGTGGCGCACTGCTGTAGTGCGCCGCTTGGGAAGCGCGGCGGCGCTCCCGCCGAGGGTTCGGATCCCACATACAGACCGGTTCCTGCTCACTGGCTGAGCGAGGCGCGGGAGCAACACCGAGGGTTGCGATCCCGTTGCTGGTCCCGGTCCGGTACGGGGGTGACACTGAGGGTTGCGATCCGTTGCCGGACACAGAAAAAGACAAAAAGGGAAAAAAAAAAAAAAAAAGAAATGGAAAATGCACAGTAGGCTGGTGGTTAACTATTCTTCTGTAATAATTCTGTTCCAGAAGTTTTTAATGGGCTGCCTTTGGCCAAGTAAGTACTTAAAATAAAACTTATTTTACATATCGTTATTTCCTAATAAAGGTAGATTTCCAAGTGGCTAAAAGCACGAGCTCTGAAGTCTGCCTGGGAATGGATCCTGGCTCTTTTACTTGCTAGCTTTAGAGTGACATTGGATAGATCAGTTCATATTGTTTAGCTTAGTTCCTTTTTCTGTGAAATGGGGAAGATAATGAGTACTATGATGTATCCATGTAAAGACAACACTATGTAGTGACAAATCTCACATAAACTATTAAATTAATACTCCACTTCCTAGGAAATGTTTTTACTGGCTAAATTTTATTCCCTGGCCTACCTGATATAAAATTCTTTTTACTCAGTCCACCTCAATTGTATAAAATTAGGTTGAAAAAGTTTGCAGTTCGGGGATAACTCTTATTTACAATTGAGTCATGCTTTAAAGTTCACAGGCTTATCATCCCCTCTAGGGAGCTAGGAAAAGATCCTTGGGCTGGAAGAGGGGTTGGTTCACGTCGAGTGGGGGAGGATGGGAGCAGTGAAGGGGATCAGAAGGCCATGGGTGTGAGGCATTGTAGACAAATACAGAAATTGTCTTTTTATATGTTCAGCCCTTGCACCCTCTTCTTTGGCTTAAGAGAATTCCCTTCCCTGACGATGGAGAGCCAAATTCTTGTGAGATGTTCACTTTTCCAGCCTCCCTTATATCTTTAAGGCTGAGATAGCTGGAAAACAAACACAGTTTGATCCTTAAAATTGGCTGAGTATATATCTTGTTGGCACTTGTGAGTACAGACACTGGTCAGAAAAGAGTGGTATTCAGAGAAATAGAATTAAGTTTTGGGAAAACCTTAGATGGATGAGTATCCCAAAGTCCCTAACTCCTAACTTGAAGTTGAAGGAACCCTTAGATACATTTTTCGCCTTGGCTGCTGGCCCCTTAATAATCTCACTTAAAGGAGCTAGCTACCTTGCAAAAAGAAGCCCATATGCCCTGTCCCTACAATCCCTCATTGTCTCCAGGACATAGTTTGAGTTAGATCCCAGCATGTCCCAGGGGGACAAATACAATGTGTGACCTGAAAGAATTTCTTTTCTTTTTTATCATATATATTGATGATAGGTGGGGAATAACTGTGGAATAGATTCTGAGTATGTAGGACCTTGAAAGAAAAAACATAATTTTAAATTGGGTCAAATTATTAACATGGATATACCTATAGCAGAGATGCTGGCTTAACTTGTCAGCTTGAAAACCTTGGACTGGTTCTGTTTACTTGGTTGAAAGACATTTTGACTCAGCAATAGCTTGTCTAAACTGGAGTTAATATGCTAGAAATTCCTTGATATACTGTAGAGAAAGGAAGTCAAAGAAAGAAGGGGGAATGTTGGAGAGGATTTAATACGTGTGGTCCTCTACCTATACATCTCGTCAGAGTCTGGTTGACTTCTCCAAGGCATTGTGAAAAACACTGGTGAGCAGAGCACCAGCATCCTTGAAAAGCTTTATGGTATATCTGTAGGCCAGATATGCCAGTGGAGATACTTCAGGTGAAATGGACTCCCTGATTCAATGGGCATTGCCAAGACTATTGTGTCAGAGACAAGGTAGTTCACTTAATTGCTAGACTAGAAAGGTGGGGAGGGTTACTACAAAAGGCAGCAGGACCCACAGGATAATCATTATAATGTAACCCGAGGTTTGGCCCTAAGTGATCTTGTGATCTAAGGGGCCAAAATGGATAAACTCCATGGTGTTATTTGACTTAAATAATTGAAAATTATAGGTCTGACTTGAGGCACTAAAGTAGTCATGATCCCTCATCCAATTCCCAGTCCTGATTTAATTCACATTCCTGGTGACCTTGGAGTAAGGACTCTGCTATAACATCACAAGTACAAAGAAACTTCAAAAAATTCATGGAATTATCCATATTATCTTTTAATTCTATTTTTTCCATAAATTTTTTGAAGTACCCTCATATGTATTATGTATCTTGGCCTTCTCCGAAGTAACTTGTGGCCATTTACCAAAGCATTATTCAATGCAGAAAGAAATTCCTAGACCTTTTGGGATTACTGAGCTGGTCTTGAGTTAGTTCTGGGAACCAGAACATCACACATCTATTCAGAGTGGAGTCTTATGGAAGTCATACAATAAATAGAGTTTTTTGTTTTTATTTTTCCTTTGTCTTGAGTTAGTTCTGGGAACCAGAACATCACACATCTATTCAGAGTGGAGTCTTATGGAACTCATACAATAAATAGAGTTTTTTGTTTTTTTTTTTCCTTTGTCTTTTTTCATGTCCGGCAACGGATCACAACCCTCAGTGTTGCGCCCATACCGGACCGGGACCGGCAACGGGATCGCAACCCTCGGTGCTGCGCCCACACCTCGCTCAGCCAGTGAGTGGGAACCAGTCTGTATGTGGGATCCGAACCCTCCGCGGGAGCGCCGCCGCGCTTCTCAAGCGGCGCACTGTAGCAGTGCGCCACCGGGCTGGCCCAATAAATGGAGTTTTGACCAAAGTCCACCATAGTGGCCCCCAAACCCATTACTTGGTTCCTTCTTGCATTTCCAGAGTGTATGATCAGAGTTTCAACATAAGCAACTAGCAGAGTCAACACACTGGTTTCCTGAACTGGTTTCTTTTGCTTACCAAATTTTAGTGGAGGGATACAACTGATGTCACTTTACAATGTGGTCAACATTTACAGTATCCCAAAAGACTATCATTATGACAACAAGGTTGCAAATTAGAACTAGATGGAATTTTTAAAGTATTTCCTCATTAGGTTGATGCAGTACCTTATCACAGAGTTCCAAACTACTTCCTACCAAACTTTTCTTCAGAAAATATGCCTTTATAAGTGAAATTAATACACATACACATATATTTTAGATAAGAGTAATTTACATGTATCAAATTAGGCTCCTTGAATAAAACCCAACTCATCCTTGATCAATATATGTCATGCTGATAAGCATTTAGCAAAATTTGAGACTGATATACAATTAAATAATATGTACTAAATCAGATAATCCAAATGCTGGTTTGCCACCTGGATTTATAGTAATTTTTCTTTTTAACTACACAAACTAAAAAAAAGTAACTAATAACTTTTATTTTTTTGTGTGCTCATTTGTAAGCTATAATTTTAACTAGCAAGGCCACCTGGATTTATAGTAATTTTTCTTTTTAACTACACAAACTAAAAAAAAGTAACTAATAAATTTTATTTTTTTGTGTGCTCATTTGTAAGCTATAATTTTAACTAGCAAGGAGAACTGTGGAGTGGAATTTTTTATGGTTTTTAAAGAAACTAACTTGCACTTCACCTGTTCCTTTATTTTACTTAAATGCATGATTACATTAATTGGAGAAAGGAAAAAAACTTTTTGGAGTTATGCTATAGTAACGCAAAGATTTTCTTTTATTTCTGCTAAATTAATATTCTATGTTCATCTAAACTTCCCACCCCCTAGATTTTTTGTATATGTCATGGGAGTGCTTTTTTTTCTTATGGAATATATTTAATCAGTCATAACCAATCCCTCCCCCAAGCTTAATGGCTATAAAAAGTTACTTCCCGTAATAAATATTTTAGGGTAAATATGGATTAATCCTTGAGATAAAAACTTAACTTTTATACCAAATCTTTTCATCTGAAATCTTATATTCAAATGAAGCAAGAATGATATTTATTAATGGAAACAAGAATTTATTAACTAATTTTTATAGTTAGGTTAGCCTGGCCTACTTAAACAAAAAATTTCCACAAACACACACATCACACACAACCCTCCCACTCCCCACAAAAAACCAACCAAACAGAAAAACCAGTCCCCAAACCAAAAAATCCTTCATAAGGTGACAAATTTTACTTGAGAGGTAGCACAACTAAGAGAATGAATACTGTACGTGCATTAACCAAGGCACTAGAAATCACCCAACCTGTTTAATTTATAACAAAATCTCTTCAGGATTTCAGTGCCTGTGAACAAATTATATTAGAACAATGGTCTCAATTTACTTTGACAAAATCTTCCTCTGTAGTTTAGTCATCTAAACTTAAACTAGTAAAAAAAAAAAATGTACTTCTACCTCAGGCAAGTGTTTAATTTCCTAAAAGCTAGTAGTTAATTAAAAGATCAATTTGGGGAGAAGTATGATTTCTTAAAAAGGAGAACATATTCTAACTTGGTAATTGTGAAATACATTAGTGACCTGGGTGAACACTGTTCTTCCTATTCTATTCAGGATAGTTTTAGTATGTGAAAGGCTTTCCCTTCATCTTGTACACTACTAGAAGAAAAACATAACATCATGAATCAGTTTAAGTAGAGATGTGATCAGGAACAGTAAAGAATGGCTTCCATACCATACATAGAATTCCAAACACTTTACATGTGAAAATTTTCCAAATTATTAAACAGTAGAGTGATCTCAGTCAGAAACTTGGCTTCATATGAAATGTTTCCATTAAAATTTTTTTAAGTTTTCTTTAAAATAAGAAAAACTTGGAAAGCAAAGCTCCCAAACCAGTTAAGTTAGAAACTGCTAATTCTCTGAATGAAAACAGCACTGTTGTTTTATTTTTACACCACTCAGTTGAAGAAATAGAAAAAGAACTACAGTCGGTATACAGAACTATTAGGCTATCTATACAGACACCTGAGAATAAACTCCTCTTTACATTTACCATCTTCTGCAGCCACTAGCTTCTGCTTTGTCATTCACTGACATTTCAACCCTACCGTATCAGCTACTATATCTTCGGGTGCCGACTGAACATGGCCCTCTGACTGTCCTCCAGTGTAGGTGGGGGTGCTGTACTTTAAGAGGATAGATTTAAACTGCACCAGAGGTGCATCTGTACGAACACCCATTGGGTCAAAGTGAGTTCGGCTTACTCGGAAGCCTGCTTGAGAAAGATAGCACAAAAACTTCTTCAACCTACGAGGAAAGGAAAAACAATCATTAGTTTCTTGCATTTTTATTTAAATCACAATGTTATTAAAACAGAATATACACTTTGCCATTTACTAGCTGTCTTACTTCGGCATATTCATTCCTTTAATGCTGTGTCTGTGGACGTTGTAATAAAAGGGAGGATGTTCAGTACTGACATCAGTCTTTTGCTTCTTGGCTAAATTTGTAATCATTTCATTATTTTTTCTCTTTCCTGAAACATACATATATACACACACACAAAGTTAGCATTCCCTGGAATACCACAAGCCAAATACTTTCATAATTATATACTGTCTCAAGTCTAAATCTTCTGAAACACCATTTCAACTTATCTACTCAATCTTAATTCTTATAATAATTTATTCTAGATATTTTTACTGTTTTTGTCACTTTTGTAATTTTAATATATAACTGTTTGCTGAATCAGAACTTCCTTTCTGCCTTCTTCAACTTCAAGCCTCAACTCTATTTCCAAATCCTGTAGGAAACCATTTATGAATTCTGGGCGAATCACTTCTTAGAGTTCATTATTGTCAGTACTACACTACTCAGACCTTGATTACGTTCTGTCATATTTTTCTTTTTTGTTTCATGTATGTAGGTCTTTTACGTGTGTTAAGTTCTTTCTCTCCAAATTATATTCTAGGTTCCTGGGGACAATGTCTTTCATTTTTATACCTGTATTCTCTACTGAATGCCTATTATCAGATACATCATAGGTCTTCACTGAAACAAAATAAAGAAAAACAACAAAAAAGTGTCAACAGTTTGGACACAAAAACCGATAAAAGTGCAATGTATGATCTCATTGTATACTTCGCAGTACAGTAGCTAGTCTTTCCATTTTAAATGAAAAGAGGCTAGCAAGATTCTAGCAATGTATCCTTCCAAAAATCATAAAAAAAAAAATAATTGAGATATCCAGCACTATTCAACCCTTGATTATTTACATATGGATGTTATGGCCAAATTTTATTACATTCAAAGATAAATATAAATTATTGTTGAATTGTTGCCTCTTTACATAAAAACAAAAAACAAAAGTGACCACTTGGGACCTTTCCATTAAATCAGATTAATTAAAATTTGATTATAACCTCACATGACACCTAGCAAGGCACTTTGTGAAAGGATGTATACCCAGATTTAGAATAAGGTCTAGGAAAGTCTGAGACAAAAAAAATCTGACATACTTTAATAGTGACTATCATCAGCAGTATATGAATTTTTTTGCCTTGTATTTTCTATCAGGGAAGATTTTGTGTGTTGATAGACCAGTCTTAGAATAATCATATAATTTCAGAGTTATAGAAGAGTCCATAGAGATTAGTCTAATTTCCTTAATTTATATAACAGAAAGGCTCAGAGATTTTAAATATTTTTAAAGTTTATTTATGTTTTACCTTATTCTAAAAAAAAATTTAAGACAATTCTGCTGAAAGTGAGGGATCGGGCTGAGATTATACAACTAACACCACAATGCAGTAGAATAATGCTCTTAAATCTAATGCTCTTTAGAGGATATAACAATGCTTTTTCATCCTCCAACTGAAAAATTAAGTAGAATATATTAAGTGATTTAAAAGTCAGAAAATTAGTTGAAGATGCCAGATGAACATGACTGTTGGAAAGAGCATGCAGTAATTACTAATCCATATATTATTAACAGGAGTTCAATTAAGTAGAATATATTAAGTGATTTAAAAGTCAGAAAATTAGTTGAAGATGCCAGATGAATATGACTGTTGGAAAGAGCATGCAGTAATTACTAATCCATATATTATTAACAGGAGTTTAAGTTTTCTTGTCTTTGAAGTTCAACACTAAACTGTTGCAACAACTAATACAAAATTACAGCTTATATTTATAGGCCACTGCTCTTTCAACCTTAACACTGTCTATATTCTTCTTTTTACTTGTATTCAAAACACAATTAGAATCTAAAATTGTCCTTTAAAAAGTAAAACAAAGCCTTAGACATTAAGGCACTGACATTTTTTTTTTTTTTTTTTAAAAAGATGACCGGTAAGGGGATCTTAACCCTTGACTTGGTGTTGTCAGCACCACGCTCAGCCAGTGAGCGAACCGGCCATCCCTATGTGGGATCCGAACCCGGGGCCTTGGTGTTATTAGCACCGCACTCTACCGAGTGAGCCACGGGCCGGCCCTAAGGCACTGACATTTTAACTCAACACCCTTTTGACATAAATTTGCAATGTCTAATACAACTATTTTAAAGTAAGTACACATATTAAACTACAATAAAGATATAATAAATTCTTATGACTAGAGAATAGGGTTTTCTGGTTAATAAAATAAAATTGCTATAAATCATATACTGATGAACAATTTTAAAAGAATGAGAATAAAATTTAATCTTAACTCTATGAAATTATCATATGTAATTTAATCTTATTTTGGTTCACATGGTTCTTCAAGATCTTATATTTCTTTCAAAGGGACCAGCACACAATAGAGATGAGAACAAAGTACAAACTAGTAGAAATTTTGAACTGTGTGAATGTTTATAAACAAGTTTTACTACAGTTTTGTTCTCAATATACAATTATGAAAATGTATTTTTAAGTAGGCTACCAAGGCTATTTCTTCTCTTCCTACCCTTCTGCTATCCGCCTTTTTGTGTTGATACATACATACGTACATGTATACACACACATATACATACATACCTTGTGCAATGTAATTATCTGTTGTGGTATCATCTGTAGTTTTAGTAAATACACCATTTTCTTCTAAAGTAAAGACAAATGGGAAAACAAAGTATTTTAAAGAATGACATTAAGCAACAATTCAAAGTTTAAATAAGTTTCTAAAATTCTATTCACACTGTTTTTATGAATATATAAGAGATTCTGTGGCCAAAACAGGCTACAAGAATTATATTTCTGGGCCGGCCTGGTGGCGCACTGGAGAGTGCGCTGCTTGGGAGCACGGTGGCGCTCCCGCCGAGGGTTCGGACCCCATGTGGTGACCGGTTCCCGCTCACTGGCTGAGCGTGGCGCGGGCGCGACACTGAGGGTTGCGATTCCATACTGGTCAGTAAAAAGGAAAAAAAAAAAAAGAATTATATTTCTTTAACCCCCTATAACAGCATATAATAGTAATATCTTCTAATTACTTATGAGAATGCTGGGGTGTTTAATGGTTTACCCTATATCAACAGCCAGATAAGACTACGGAAGCCTATTTATACTAAGGAGAAAACTTAGCTTTACTGAGTGATAACTGTAAATCTAGTTTCTGTGTCTCAATGGACATGACCAAAATTTTTGGCCACACCATTTCTAGAATTATCTAATTTCTCTTTCTAGAAAGCAGATAAAGGGTAATAAAATAACAAAAGACTTTTAATTCTTTTAATCTAGTAAAATTTATTTTAAAAGGGAGATTGTCTTAAAATCACTATTCATTTCAGGCTCCTGAGTATGAATAGTGAAACTATGAAATTAAAAAAAAAAATGTTAACAACCAGATTATTATTATTATTTTAATTTTTATTATTATTATTTTTCTCTTTTTAGACTGGTAAGGGGATCGCAACCCTCGGCACGGTGTGGTCTGCAACACACTCAGCCAGTGAGCACACCAGCCATACCCATATAGGATCCGAACCCATGGCCTAGGCTCTACCAGTGCCGCACTCTCCCGAGTGAAAAATGGGGCCGGCCCCAACCAGACTATTATTAGACTCACTAGGGAGTATTTACTTAAAGCACACTATTTATAACTATGGTGCTTTTGATTACAACATAAAATAAAGATAAAAAAGATACAGTATCTTGGATAACCAATTTGTAAGCTAGTAAACTATTTTTCTTCAATGACTCACCTTGCTTGTTGAGATTTGAAGGTACACGAACTGAACACTGACTTTGAGAAGTACACTCTGATTCAAAGATTAACGTCTTTATTAGGGTCTGAATGTCATCCAAACCATGGTGTAGAGATTCAAACAGCATTCTTTTGAGGAATCCAGTATTGAAAAGGGAACTTGACCTGACAGAGAAAAGAATCCTTGTATAGGGAATTGGGTTTGAGAAATGCTTTATTTTCTTTAAAAAAATAAGTCTCTATAATTTAACCACAACTAAGATATATAATTAATTATGGGATAGAGTAAAACTGAAATTCAAGAAGAATTTATAATTTAGTTTAAAATTGTTTATTTCTATTTGCCCACTCTTTTTGTTGTGTCAGTTCTCTAAACTAGGATTATTCAAGGAAGAAATTTCACTCACATCAAATCCATAAGAATTTATTAAGCCCTCATAAGGTATAAGTACTATGGTTTATGGGGTGCCCGGGATAGTGTGTGGAGGATATATACCAAAAGCTAAAATACGATGTTGATGCTATAAAAGCCTATAAATCTAGGTAGGATCTAGATAGGAGCATAGTATAATGCAGAGGTTTTCACAGTGTACATTCCAGTCAGTAATAGTAAATTTTAATTCCAGTATATATATATATATATATGGTGGTGGAGTGGGGTAGTTATAAAATGGCATAGGGAAAAATCTGATATGTTTCCCATTTAATTTGGGAATCACAGGTAATTTCAAAATATGAAAATCTGAGTCAGATAAAACTGGATTCCAATCCTGGCTCCACCACTTACTAGCTATGTAATCTTGAGTAATTGTTGCTTTTGAGTCTTGTACTCCTCATTATAAGGTGGAAAATAAAACTCACAGAGTTGTTATGGTAATTAAATGAGATAACATATGTACGATGCCTAGTACAAAGTATATCCTCAATGAATGGTAGCTGTTATTATTGGGGTTAGCAAATATATATGATTTTAAAGTGTCAAATGAATGATGAATGTAAGATATAGTAAAGGGATTTTAGAGATTATTTTGAGTTAAAGCACTAAGGAGAGACTTCAGAAAGGAAGTACAATTTAAATTGGGGGTGGGGGCGTGGGGAAAGGTATTCTAGACAAGAGTAAAGTCATGAACAGTGGCTTTGAGTGAGGAAATTATAAGGCATGACTTAGAACTCCATCTTGGGAGTTAGAAAATGTAAGTTCTTGCCTTGACTGTGCTAATAACTAATTTTGGGGGTCAGTTTTAGCAAGCTCTTAAAAACATTATGCCATAATCTCCTCATCTGTAAAAATGAGGAAGTTGAGCTAGAAGATTATTCTTCTAGATCCAGCAACCTTAATTTCTGAGATTAATGAATAAGATCAATATATAGTAGATTATATAGGTAAACGAGAGTACTAGAAGGTAAGGCTGGCTAGGTCATTTTTTTTTTTTTTTTTTTTTTTTTTTTTTTTTC